TTTAGGGAGAAACTGAGAGGAGAGCGGTATTCACTAATGGTGGAGTCAGCTACGTGAAGAGAGGCATAGGGCAAATGGGAGTGTAGGGTAGCTTCGTAGGCAAAGGAGCGAATAGGATTTGAAGTTGAAGAAAGGAGGTCATCAATAACCATCAGAAAAAGGTAAGGGGAAATACAAAACCTGCGGAAACTTCAGCATTCACTGGCACGGAACGAAAAATGTTCTCATGCTCGAACGGAGCTCCTGCGGTCCTTGCTGTCCAGGACAAGATCGAGGATATAACCGTGGTCGCCACCACGAGTCTTCCTCAGCAGAGGCTATTTGAGACGCTTGGTCATATAGGAGCATTTCATGAAGTGCAATGGAGGGTGATCAGCCGCAACCCAAGACACCCACCCCCGATCATACTGAGGCTTTCACGGAGACTACCTACCGGTGACTCGGATGTGATGGAACAGCTTACGGGAATTTCCCATGGCGGCAGCACGTTCCATTTCTGACACATGTTCGTACCAACAAATGTCGCGGTCTCTGCGTAAGCTTAAGTTCACGTTTCCTTACAAATCGTGCTACGTTATACTTTTCACCGGTTGGTAGTGACCAATGTGCTTCAGGAAGACGCAGAAACTCAGCGGAAATCCAGAGTCTCACGACACGACGTGTCAGGTCACAACTTACTAAGCCAGCAGAATGCAGAGCATTCTTGATAAGCGACCAGTGCTAACTGATTTTATCAGGTCGGGTTGATTCTAGTTTTTCAGCAAGGGAGTTCTGAAAAACAGTTGAGCGTGCTGGTTAGGACAACTTGTCGCAGTCTAACCGTCGCTGTGTCGTGCGTTCAGAACGCCTACCGAAGCACACGGACAGCATGGTGCGAACTAATGCATGATCGGATTGGAGGGGAGTGCTCCAGTGCAATCGGCAGTCTTGAATGCAACCCCGCCATTTGTAGCTTATAGCGATGTGGTCTATCTGCGTTAGTCGCTGACTCGAGGAGGGTGGACGCCAAGTGGCGTAACGGCAGTTGGAGCGTCTGAAGTCCGCACTGGTGCGCAAAAGGCGGTGGTCGGAACACATAGCCAACAGCCATTCCCAGTTTTCCGAGTGACAGGAATCTAATCCGAAAGGACTTCACAGATGCGCCTCACTCGAAGTCAGTCGGCCTACTCTAGCATTCATATCTCCTGCTAAATTCACGATGTCAGCCCGGGTCGCCTTACGCAATAGGTCGTGTAGCTTTTGGTAGAAAGTATCCTTGACTGTATCTGGGCTATAGTTCGAAGGTGCGTACGCTGAGGCGACAAACAAGTTCCTTCTTTCGAAACGACGACTACTTAGGGTGGTGTCGACGCAGTGGTTTATTCGTTGCTACTGGTGTGCTTTGGACCCTATGGTCCGATGTTCGATCCCCGCCACCTGGATTTGGTGGTAGGCAGCTCTGCTGTCGGCCGGTTCGATACCACGCCTAACGTTTTGGGGCCTCATGTGGTTCGCCACTCCAAGTCCCGGGGCCTAGGTTGCCGGTTTCCACTATTAAATAGCAGGTCCTCATGGCTATGGGGTTCGCCCCGTTTGCTGTTCATCACACTTAGGTGTGTAATGAAAAACGAAGATCTGAGTCTCACTGCGCATAACTGACTGTTGTCCAATCTAGGAGCGCGGCTTCAGCTTTCGCATTGAGAAGGACACCGACAACAGCAAGACCGGAATCCGCGGCCTCAATGTCCCTAGGAAAGTGAAACTTCGCAGACGGGTTTGCTGTGGAGGTCAGTCGGTTGTTGGAGCTGGAGTCTGCTCCAGACTGGAGAAAGCCACATTGAGGCCAGTAGATGACGTGGAGACGAGGCATGAAGCAATGCACACAGCGCTTAGGTAGATTAGGTGTCCACCATTTTCTGGGTTAGGGTCCAAAAGACTCCGTAACCGCATGGTTGGAGCCACCGAAGGTCATGGCAGCAAATCGATAGCAGTGGCAAACTTTCTATCATTTCTTATCAAACCCGAATGCTTGAAATAGTATGTATGAACCGTGGGACTATGTACTCCGTGTGTTTACCATAGAGGTCCGCTTCCTTTTCCCGCCCTATAAAAATAAGCCTCATCCGTACTCACTTGTTCACTTACCTTTTATGTACTATGAGTTCGACAGCAATCAGTGAAGTTCGTTGTATTAAGCTGTACAATGATGATGAATGATTATTGGGCAAAGTACACATGCCCATCCTTGGATAGCAGAGATTCCATATATCATTTCATGTGTGTTGGGGGCTGTCGTACTAATCGTTCGCCCAACCCAGAGTAGGCCTTGTTCCATGGTGCAGTCTAACCTTTCGCAACCAGGTGCGAACTACAAGGCGGTAGCAATGTTCCAGGAGAGCCGGTGACTGGTTGTTTGCTTCAGTCGCCTCTTCTGAAAAACTTTGTCGGTTAAATAGAACCCGAAAAGGGAGCAGTGACCGTATTCCGTGGCGGTGTGTAATGAAAAACGAAGCTCTGAGTTTCACTGTGCAACACCTGTCGACTGGGATCCAATCCAGGAGCGCGGTTTCAGCTCTCTCACTGAGAGCCACGCCANTCGCCACGTCACAGCATCGTCAAAATGTACATGCGGTGTTTTGTGTTGATAACCCTAGCCAAGTGGTTAACTCACCACATTCTCGAGCACTGCCGCTGATCATCCGCTGCCACTTATTCAGTGGAACTAAGCCCTCCTTATTCACGGCTAGCCGCGAGTTGGTGGTCGTTTACCTATCTGTGACCTGGGGGCGCGCTCCGTAACATACAACTCTGCTCTTGCCGAAAGTTATGCGACTATTTTCCAAATCGAAAGCTGCGTGGTCTATTCAACTGCTTTTGCGTGAGGAAAAGTATCCAACTTAGCATAGCGTTATTAACTGTACGGCTAATAGCGAATAACATAATTATCCCAGGGAGTTTAATGCGCATCATGTAGAATCGCGCTTTTCATTTTTAGACTGCTGTTTCACGTCTCTGGCTTGCGTTATCAGGAATTTACTGTACAATTCTAAACAATTCAAACAAGAGAAAAGTGATTTTTACTATTTTCGGTGTTTTTCAGGGTTTACATGATACCCCATTAACTTTAGCCAAATTGCGGGACGACTTTAGTATTACTGGTTAATATGGTTTGGAATGTCAATATAAATGAATTGCTTTGGTCACAGGTTGAATTTTGTTTTGGTTTACTGTACCTTGGTTTAATATCCCACCAGTCCCACTGGGGTCACTAAAAGCCCCGGGGGTTATGCTCCCGGTCCGTAAAACTAAAAGCAGGATTTCCCTTACCCATTGTTCATCACACTGATAATTTCGCCGCTTCCCCTCGTGAATTATCCCTACTTTATGAGGTATCTTCTAAGCTACTATATATATATATATATATATATATATATATATATATGACATTTGACCTGGGAAAGGAATGGTACCAACGCAACAAAATACGAAAACGAGAGGGAGATAATCATTCCTGAATTGATTAGATCGCTAAAGTAGTGTTCTTTTTTTGACTGTATTCATAAATTCCAACAGGCTCCAATTTTTCACATTTTGCAGGTGCGCGAGTCGTTCTTCTATGCAAATAGATATTGCAAAAGTCTCAACAAATACTATTTTCCGTAAAATGTTTCTTGACTACACCTGTGTGAATATGTATGAGATATTTTTTCCTATTGTTATCCCTGTTTCTCAACACATTCTTGTTGTTAGCCCGCACTAAACACTAATTGCCAAACGGAATTCGCATGTTCGTTTGTCCTATTGATACATTTTTACATTCTTTCACTGAAGCTCATGCAAACGATGGCTCAAAGTGCAGAAGAATATGCTCGGCAGATATGGATGCGTGGTTGGCAAGTGGTTCATTTCCAGCGTCTCCCTGCTTGGTTAAAAGATAATGATCTTTTGATACGTGGTCATCGTCCGCAGCTTTACACGGCGTGGGCATGCTTCAAATCTATTTTCAGAGTGCACACAGAAACGGGTAATATATGGACGCATTTACTTGGTGAGTTATTTTAGTGGTCCTTAGTTGGTCTGTTGCCACATTGTGACCTCGGTGATAGGAAGGGACGTCTAAGCTAGCTCCAACTTAGAGCTGATTTTGCATTTAAAAGGAACTATTCTGTGGTTTGAAGGAAACCGTCAAATGTGATGTCCTCCGTAACCTATGACAAATTACTATTTCGCAAGAGAAAAAATTGAAAGCTGATAACTTTTTCATTTTTTTAACCGTGTTCTGAGTTTATTACAGGGCGTGAATATAGATAATTATATGTGAACACTACTCATCTGTTCATTCTCTGATTTTTTTTTCTCTCAAACCGATACAGGTTGTGGCTGTTTTATCGTTATTGCTGCATTCGTGTTCGCCCAGCCGAGTGACTTGATTCAATGGCAAGAGAAGTTAATTTTTGCCGGCTTTTTTGTGGGAGCTATTCTTTGTCTCGGATTTTCGTGCCTCTTTCACACGGTTTTGTGTCATTCGGAAAGCGTCAGTAAACTGTTAAGCAAGTGAGTGCTCAACTATTGAAATACTAGTACACTCTGTCCCGAAACTATAACACATCAAACAGTCTGCGGTGAACTGGTTTACCGCACTTTTTCCTCACGTGATTTGTTTTGGAAGTCCGCTTTTGTTTTTCCTTAGATGTTTTGCTAGTGTTTTATGTGAATGTTTAACCACACGCTTGCGGATAATCGCTTGCGTTTTGCATTGCTCTCCTTTCGTTCTACTGCTCGATGTTAGTTTAACTTTTCGAAACACTCATTTGTCACATCCTGAGCTATTCTAAAGTGGAGTTTCGTTCAGTATATGAAAAATCGATACACGCGTTTTTAAAGTCGGGCATTGAAGTGTGCTTTCTTGCAGTCAGCTACCAGTCTTTACAGACACTCCCTAAAATAAATAAATAAATACCGAACTTCTTATCCAGGTGACTTTCGAATAAACGCAGTCGGTTGAAAAAGACGATCTACGGCAGCCTTATTAATGCTCATTTTTTATCCTATTTTACTTACTTTTGAGTGACCAACTCCTCCGGGAATATAAATCGGCCTTTTGAATGTCTCCGACGCTGGCAACCCACGCGTGACGATCAGCAGCAAGGTTGGCGCAGTTTTGGTTGCAGTTACGAATTCCCCATACGGATTGGAGGCTCCGTTCCATATCCTCATTGATCCTATTACTCCAGGTCTTCAGTTGGCCACCAAGTCGACAACACCATCCACGGCTGGGTGCGGTAGCTACAGCCTGCCTCCATAGTTGAGTGTCAGACCTTCGAAGCACGCGATCAAACCACTGAATGCGCTGGCCTTTTGGCATTTCGGGAATCTTGTCTGTATTCGAGCAGCGCCGTCGAACTTCATCATTGGAACCCCGATTTTTCCTATTTCGATTCGAGATGCCGCTTCCAATGACCAAAGACCTCGAGCTTCCTTGTAGCTTGTACTCATAGCGGCCATGTTCACTAACATAAGTGTAGATGCAACGGATGAAAACCAGTTAAACCCGAAGCTCCGTGTGTAGGCCTATCTCTCATCCGTTCTACAACGGTCTAAGGAGTTGCAGGGAGTCTCTTATAGCTCTATCTACACGAAGTTATATCTCATCCTTACCCTGACCGTTTGGTCTGATTATGGAGCCAAAATACTCGAAAACTTCGAATAATTCGACAAGCTCCCCATTAATCGAGAGGGCTTCTGTCGTGGCAGAAGTTTTGGTCGAAAATGTCTTGGTTTTCGACATGTTGATCTCTGTCTCAATTGTCTGGGCAAGTTGGTTGGTGAGACTGACGACAGGTTGGAGGTTGTCCATGGTGTCTCGCAAACTCGAGGTCTGTGATCCGTGTACCTTGGTTAAGCTGCTCTCCGGGGTAGTCGATGAGTGCTAGTTACCTTATCCAATCTGCAGTGTAACTGAATAACACCGGTGATAGGGGACAGCCTTATCGGACTCCAGAGCTTAATGTAGACAGTTGATTCTTCTCTGTAGATATGGACGCGTACTCTGTTTCCTGAGTAGTACGACTTTAAAAGCCTATGAATTTCTGGAAAATCCCATCGGATCGCACTATGTTCCACAATGATTCTTTAGTGACGGTGTCAAAGACATCTCGGATGTCGATGAAACACGGTGCGATGGATTGTTGGAACTTGTAGCGATGTTCCAGGATCTCACGGAGCGCAAAGAGTTATTCAACACAACTTCTTTCACCGCGAAAACTTCATTGGTTCAGTTGGCTACATTTATCTCTGATGGCTGCGAAGCAGTTGAGCAGTATCACCGCAAACGATTTGGCCGTAATATCAATGAGGCTGTTACCGCTATAATTTTCCCATAATGGCTGTCACACATTTTTGAAGTGAGAACTAAAATTGATTTTGCCCAGTATTGGAAATACTTCTCTTTCCCAAATGGAGTGAAAAACAATGCAATGGACCCATCCGACTTGGTAGGCAAGTTTTGAATAATGCTGGAGATATCCCCTCTTTTCCAGGGGCCTTCCTGCTTTTCAGGGGAGTCGCCGCATTGGCGATTTCTGTCCTGCATGTGGGTCATAATTTTGTCGTAGGTCCCCGAACTGCCTAACACCTGTGGATAGCCAGGTTGGTTTGATGGGCGGTTTAGCAGACCGTCGGAATATTTGACCCACCTTTGCACTTTCTGTTTATTTTCCGGAAGAATTGGGCCCGCGGTGTCGCGCAACAGAACTTCGATGTATGCCTTTTTCCTGTTCTGACAAATTAGACGAAGTCGCTTTCCAAAGTCCACTGCGACGGTTGTAGCTTCCATGCTGTCTGCAATCATCCTCCATTATAGTTTGCGGTCCCTCTTAGCGGAGCATGTAGCTTGACGACGTAGACTACGGAGTTACGTCGAATTGATCAGCCGTGTCTTTCTTGCATTTACAGGCAACTGCAGTGCATTGCCGTAGTTCAAATCGTTTTTGTGGCAAACTGTCTTACCTAAGTGCGCCAGCAACTATTTTGGAAGCGGTTGCGTCCAGCAACGTTTGCCTTTTCTCAGGTAGTTCCAAGAGAGCGACGTTGAATTTGCCTTGGAGGTGAGTCCTCTAGTGAGCAGTCAGGTGAACATTGAAGCGAGCGTGTACAAGGATGTCGTTCCTGTTTCTAGCTTGCACGCCGCGATAGGAATGACTGTCTTCCACTGAAGAGGCTCAACTAGCACATACCAAAATGTAATCAGTGTGATATAGCGTTCCACCGCGATTCGAGTACCAAGTCAGTAGGTGTTTTCTGAGGTGCTGGAAACGGGTGTTGGCCGCGACCAGCCGGTTAAGGTTAGCTTAGCTTCCGACCGCTTCATCCGTAAACTTGGTGACTTCTTCAGTGGAACTTCAGTTTAAGCTTCTTCAAGTGTCCTTGTGCTTATATTGATGGTCGTATTACATGAAAGTTCTCCGATCGGTACGCCAAGGTCAGATGGAAAGGCACCTAGGAGACAGAGTTCCGTTTGTAGGGATCCAATGACACGGATTTAGGATTCATATATTCGCTTAGTACTCGTTGTCATAAGTGTTTACAGATTGTAGTAATGCCTCAGTAACTACTTTCTTATACGATTACACGATGAAATGTAGGGAAATGAATTTCTTTTATCGAGGTCAAGCTCGCAGGTGACACAAATTGTTCTTCCATTGTGGTCGCAAAAGGCTGTTATTATCGTATTTCACATGTTTAAGTTCAAATTGATTAACAAAAATAGCGGTGCAAGTATTCTGAAGAAATTGGCCCCTGATTGGCTCGCGGGCCGAACATTACCAGGTTTCCCGGGTCAGAGCAAGTGAATTTTCCCATGATAGCACTGAGACTATCAGGTACATGAAGTCTACTTTGACTTGAGTTGAATGCAACAGGGTGGTGTGTGATAACATCAGTCCATTGAGAGCTGGTGTGCAGTTCATCCCATCACGTTCCTCGGACGGAGACAAGTGTTCAATGGTGCAATGGTGGCGGTGATCACTGCCAAAATCAGAAAGGTGTAGATGTGGTTCCTGCTCCCCTTCTGGGTTGGGCTCTTCACTAGGCTAGCTGATGATGATTCACCGACCCGGATGTTACCTTTTCGTCCTCTCACTTTAGAGAAAAACTATCACGTGAATGAAATTAATTTAAATCTTCAAAACTTTGGATCATATTTGTTACCTATTTTGAATGTGGGACTGAAATGCCGACAGGTGCCCCATTCGGTAGGTCGGCTTTCATATACGAATATGTCGTGAAGTCATGATCGACTGAGGAACATTTATTCAGCGTTCATTTTCTACCTTAGAACCGGTATTGTCATTAACTCAACCCGTTTGTGAGGTTATTACTCCAACACAAATGTTGATCATTTTGTCCTAAATGCAGCAACTAAATTATATTATATATTATTATTACTATATTATATTCTCCTTCTATGTGGTAATTTTCACTTTGCTGGTCGTCTGCATTTCATAATACTAATTTGTTATGGTTGGACTATTTTCGTCATAAATATCCTCACGTTACTGTTGTTATTTATTTATTTTCTAGGTTGGACTACTGTGGAATTGCTTTTCTCACAATGGGTTCGTTTGTACCCTATTTGTACTACTCATTCTACTGCATACTTTGGGCTAAATTGTTCTATTTAGCTCTAATTGGCGTGCTCGGTTGTGGTGCAATCGTTGTGTCCATGTCAAACGAGTTTGCCTCGTCACAGTATCGTCCACTTCGGGCTGCTTTGTTCATTGCACTGGGTCTGTCCGGTGTAATCCCGTGTTTACACGCAATCATCATTTATGGCTTTTGGCCTTGTGTACACCACGGCTCTCTGGGGTGGCTTTTCCTAATGGCCGTTCTCTATATCAGTGGCGCGTCAATCTATGCTGTACGCGTGCCTGAACGATGTTGTCCCGGGAAATTCGACATCTGGGTATGTATTTCTCGTCCCCAAAGGATAACTATGGTTTATTTATATTTTATAAACAGTACTTTTTTCTTGACATTCTGGAAGTAGCACATTTGACTCATTATGGGCTCGTACTATTTCATCTGTATTTTGGTCAATTAAAAAATGATTCGCTAAGCAATGTTCCACTTTTACTGACTCATCTTTGGTTGGTGTTTTATATTGACCGGATGCTTTTGTTCCTGCATTTCGTAGCTAGTCTCTTTTCTTTGAAGTTGACAGTCCAAACAGAACCGAGTATTGAAGCTTCCGTTCCTAGCAGTATCTAGAAAGATGCGGTATCTATAACGTTCAGGTCACTTTGGTTTACTTGGTATGCGGTTCGTGAGTAGTTCGAAATTTTAGTGAGCCATATGAACATGTGCCCATAGTGCACAGAAGAACAAACCTTGACGGATACCATGAAAATACACTAATTCCCGTCCATTTGCAGACGTTTGTTAACTGAATCTATATGAAATTATTTTTGATTGTTCTTGGTGTTTCTGTATGTCTGTTTCTGAAATCCATTCGTGTTGTTTCGCAATCCGTGTTTGGACTTTAGTTTGTATCACTTTAATTGTCATTGGTAATTTTTATTCTCTTAGCTGTGATCTTCTTTAATGGATTTAGTGTAACTGTTAACTTTCCTCCTTGCAGTTTCAGAGTCACCAAATTTTCCACGTGTTTGTGGTCATCGCTGCACTCGTACATTACCACGGAATAGGACTACTTACAAACTACCGCCTGACATTGGGCGACTGTCAACCTCCGGCTGGGTACCCATTCCCTGTGCACGAATTTTCCAATTTGGAACTGTTGAAACCCTTCATGAAGTGATAAATCCACAAATTATTTGTTTTTTTTGGACTCAGATGCAGCACTTGTTGCACAATTTTGTGCACATTCCATTTCCGACTTCTGGTATTCTCTTGACGTCTCTGGGAGTCTTTCAATACTTTTGGTATCCCCTATTTTGTGAATACCACATATCTTTTTATTCATTATTTATTTAATTAAGTAAATTCCTGAACTGTTTTTCCAAGAATGCGAACTATACTGACATTGGCCGTGTTTTTTTAATAGCCCTTCCTCTTTAAATATAGAAACTCGGCATTGAACCCACAGAACTTTATCATTTGGTTTCGATCTCTGCATTGCTGAGTGAATAACAGCCTCCGATCGTTATCAGTCATTTAACTCTCGTTCTCGTTTTGCGGATTGTTCATTATTTATTGAATGCAATTGCTACTCTGCGACCTTTTGGAACCTCGGCCTTGCTGGTTGATCGTTTCTGTGAATCATCTCCTGCGAATGTTGTTGTTCAGATCTTATTCTCAAGCACTGTGTGCGTGGGATTTGATACACATGACATACCACCACTACGAGCACCCGCGTATTTTTTCTTTGCTGGACGCAATCTTTCTGACAGTTTGTAGCTAGATTTGTATGATCGAATGAACTATGCCAAATTAATTTTTCATTCATACACCGTGGTCTTTTGCTTTGTCTGTAAAACTCCTCGGGAACTAGTGGTCAAACTGGTTGGTGTTTCATCATAGCCGTACATTTTAGCGGACAAGCTCTGGTTCGAGGAGATTGGAATTTGTCTTTATTTAGTTGAACGAAAACTGTCGCATGCATATCAGTTATTTTATTTTTTTCTTGTGTATTCTGTTTTGTCCAACTGCGCGAATATACACAAAAAATAAATCAACTCATCGTAGACAAAGAAACGTATCGATCAATCAGCAGGAATCACGTGAAGCAGCTAGGGAATCAACTAACCAAATCCTTTAGGATTCTCAAGAAACCCACAGATGAAGATTGTGGACGAGTCAAACCCACAGAAGGTCAGACGCCATGGTTCAAAGGTGCACGAACCCCATGTATCATTGCGACCCATTGTCGCATCTACAACAGCACCCAAGTCAAGTTAAGCTTTATGCACTCAATTGGATGAATTTTCAGCACTTAACAAGTTACAATGAGGAAAACGTTAAGCATTGTAAAAAGAATAATATACATTCACTAAATGAAAAACGGATGCCATAAAATCCTGATGTGCAGATGATTTTTCAAGTCCGTAATAGTATTTGCTCGGTAGTCCAAGATACGAGCAAAATAAGGGATCATGCTATTTTTTATATGTGATGGTACGTGCACAAAGAATCCCAAATTTAGAACGCGTACTGGGATAGGACACCGGTTTATTGAGATAGGCATGCAGGCAGTGTTCTTCGTTCGACACTGCGGCTGATAAATCTATCGCATGAATCAAAATACTTGCTCACAATAAAATCAACCAAAACGGTCTTTGAAATGCCACTGCATCGGGAAAGAAGTTTAAGATATCTGGAAAATAGAATGAAGTCTTTCTCTTTTAGACCAGGAAAATACGCGGGGAAACAGTACAACCAACTACATTCTCGCAAGGTACCTTCTCTAGCTACTACGAGCCAAAATGATACAAAAGGTCCCACGGTATTCCTTTAACACATCAAAGGTCTGACGACTGAACTAAACGAAATGTTCTCCTTCGAAGCGACCTCGCTGTTTACCAACATACCGAAACAAATGACCGCAGAAAGTATTCGACGCCTGTTGCAAAACAACTAAAATTTGCAATCCAGAACGACGCTATCCGTGGATGACGGGAAGGTCTACCAACAGATACAAGGAACTCTTGTGGCCTCGCCACTCAGGCCTGCTTGCAGACGTGATTATGAAACAATCCAAAGCCAAGGATTTTGAAATTCTACAATCTCGTCTGGGGATGACACATTCGTCATACTCGGAGCTTCCGCGGTAGAGCACTTCCGAGCAGTTTCCTGGGATCAACTTCAAACTAGCGGAAAAAGATGGCCAACTCTCCTCCACGTCCTTCTCGTGAGACAACCAGGCGGAAGCAAACAGACCACAGTATCGCATCCTCAATTAAAACAGCATCCATCCCTTGTGCTCCTTGAAAAGTTGTGTGCGAACTCTATTCCGAGGATCGAACACATTGCAGCGCACCGGAGCTAAGGAAAAGAATGAAGTCGACTCAACTGTCCTTATGTAACGTATAACTCAGTTTTATGAACGTATGCATCAGGGGTAAAAAAACATCACAGGCAAAACAGGGAATTTCGATAGTGCTACCTTGCATGTGCTGCACGTCAGAAGCCACCGAAAGCATACTCTCACCGTTAGGAATCATGGCAGCCCATAGACCAGTAGCAACTTTGAGATCGATTCTCTTCAACGGCAAGGATCAAGTCAAATAGCGCAAATTATCAGGTGTAATCCATGCAATCCCGTGTCTGACCTGCAATCAACACTATGTATATCAGACGGGCAACTTAGCAACTTGCCTAACCGAACACAAGCTTGCCCTCGGACGCGCTGACCCGAGGTCACAAATCCGGAACCACTGCTCACGAGTAGGTCACGAGATCGCGATCGATAAAATAGATGGTAGCGCACGCTAAGAAGGGGGAACGATCAATTCCCGGAGCTCCACACTCGGTAAATTCGTTCAACTGACATGTCGAGATAGGTAAACATTACTTAGCACTGACAAGACCCGTGACGCTTGGTGGATGCACAAACAGTACACAGACGCACGGAAAGACGTTAATCCCATTAACTCATTCATTTCGTTTACGTTTGATAACGAGCCCTAGTTTGGATCAAAACGTTACAATTCAGTGTACGCATTCATTCTCTCTCAACATAGAAATATATATATTGGAATAGAGAAACGTGGGTTTACACAATGTATTTATGGTCATTTCGCTGCATTTGTAGTCAGTGAGATAATAACCGTGCAATGGAGAAAAGATCGCTCCTCTCAACGGACAACACGACACACTAGCATATAGAACGACAAAGGATACGGGTTAATCACCAATGTAAAGCTCATCTGACTGACCACTGGCGTTGTTTGCGTAGATCTGGTTGGAAAGTACGAACGGCTAGAACCTCGGCATATTTCAGTAACTTTTTTTCCGTTGTAGATGACCTGAAATGTGTGAGTTGAATTGAACCAATGCTTTTGTTCGAAGATCTAAGTCTTTTCTGTTCATTCGATGACGTAACAGTTACAAACTTGTCGTTCACCCATTTCTGGGAGATTTTCAGCCATTCGGCAATGTAACTGCCTCTGTCCTGCCTATATCGATAGCCGAGCACCCACACTTGAAATGGTAAATGCAGTTTGATTTCGCTGGTGAGGGGATGGTGCTTTTACGGATGTCGTTGCTATCCGGGTGATAGTGGGGACAATCAGTTCAGTTTCATTTTTTTCAACCACTAACCATGTAACTTCGTGCGCCACTTTAGGTTGTTGTCTTTTGGCTGCCCATTTAGATGAACAGTAGGAGGAAGACAGGTACGCTGAAATTGTAGTCGAAGAGAGAATTGAAAACTCCAGTAAGCTATGGCTGCAAAGAAAATGAGATGCACGAACGCCACGTTTATGACTCCCAGCCATATCACTCAGTGTCCTAGCCATCGGTTGCGATCATCCCGAAGTCCCCATCCAGAGAGCCTAACAAGACCTATGTGACCCAGACTCCTGGTCAGGGTTTTCATACCCTCATGCCAGGTCTTGACTTGACTACCCTTGGCTTTATTCCAAACACTACTTGCCTCGGCGAACATCGCTTGCCATGGCAACCTATTTGGTGACATGCGCAACACATGCTCCAATCAACGTAATCTATAGAGGTCGATCACTTGCTCCGGTGGGCGACCACAATTAACCAAAACTCTGCGTCTGACCTCAGCATTGCTCGTTCGGCTGCCCCACCAGATTCGTGCAATACTGCGTAGACAACGATATTCAAATACCGCCAGTCTATCTTTGTCCTGTTTCCTTAATGGACAAGTTTCTGCGCCGTATAGCAGAACTGGCCGAACTGCCACGGCGTACACTTGACCTTTCACAGACAGCCGGATGTCGCGACCGCGCCACATGTCTCAAGTTGGCAAGTCCTCTCGAGCCTTCTGTATGCGAGCTGATCCGTGATGCGTCCAACGGGTGAGATGTACTTACCCACATAACAGAACTTATCCGCTTGCTCTATTACTTCCCCAGTCAGCGTGAGTCTGGGTGCTGGACTAACCCTGTCTTTTAGTAATATTTTACACTCTGAAGGTGCAAAACGCATACCGAACATAGCTACACTAGCAATCAAGCTATCCAGAAAGGCTTGTTACTTACTAACATCTTCACTAAGCAGCACAATGTGGTGTGCATGCTCCAGATCAGATAGTCTGGTATTTGGGAGCAAATCGATGTCATTATCCTCGCACGAGGATAGGGCTGTTTCCATAATCCAATTTATAACAAAGTTAACTAGAAAAGGAGAGAGAGGGCAACTCTGACGAACACCACTTTCCGTAGTGAACTGGAACAAAAACGTACCGTATGCTCGGACTCGACTTCGGCTATTAATTATACTAATAGCCGAAGTCGTAATGTTGAAATAAACTTCTCGGGCACACGCTTCAAGGAAAGGCAGTGTCAGATTTTAGAGAGGTCGACCGAGTCAAAAGCTGCTTTCAGATCGAGGAAGAGAGATGATAGGTCTTGTAAGGATAAAGACCGGGTCAACTGCGTAATAAACGGGTTTGACGGCAGAGTTCAACAGTTCTCTGACCAATTCATTTGTAAGATAACTTCAGAAAAACCTTGATTTCGCGGGCAGTTATTGTTTTTTCTACTTTTGGCTATATATTTATATATATTCTTTATAAATAAAGCACCAAGATAACCATGGGTTTAAACAGAAATAAAGAATCAGAACAAAAAACAACACGAAAGCTATCTGTCTGTCATTCGATTGGCGAGT